CCCACTTCCTTGATTTATTTAATTAATCGCATTAATGCGATTAATTGCCGGCATATCTATTTCGAGGAATTGATCGTTGTATCCATCTCACGTGAGGTCCCGGCAGAGTATTTACGTCATGTTATCGGGCCTCACACTAGGTTTTTTGGAATAATTTTTTCTGTTTTGTAATTTCTAGCTTAGTTAAGAGAAATCTGAAAAGTGCAGAGTTGTTAGAAAAGGTAATTGGGTGTTTAGGAAATTTTAATATATACCATAAAAATGAAATTTCTGGAACACTCCTGCAAATTTTTCTAAATTGCCTATAAAAAAACCTGCAAAGACAGGTTTTAGGTTTTGCTTTTTTGAAGATAACTTGATGAGTTTTTATCTATTTTAAATAAAATATATATCAAAATGTTTGTCTTAATGAGCTGAGTAAATAACTAATAATGAGCAAAATATATTTAATTATTAAAGTTTTAAGAAAATAAATAAAGCCAAAAAGCTGGTTTTTGTAATTTTTCTCAATGGCCAGGTATTGTTAGAGCTTAAAACCTGACCACTTAGGAGCAGAAAAGTGTGCTAAGCAACTTTACTTAAGGGTACAAGTAAGGTTAATTTAGTAAAATAAGTGATAATAATTAAATGTTTTTAGCAAAAATTTGGTATAAATGATCGCAGAAAGAGTTGACATTTTTTTTTTTTTGTCTTTTATGTTTACTTTAATTATTGCTTCATATATTTTCCTTAGCATTATCATCTTTATTAAGTTTGTCTTCCATAATGTTGCTGCAACTATATCTCTAACATTAAAGTGGTTGTCTCTTTTTGCTAGTTCTTGCTCTAACTCTTTGCTATCTATAAGTTTTAGTACTGCTTCTGCTCTTTCACTTACCAATTTTAGCATTATTGACTCTTCTGCCTTTGCTTGTGTTATCTTTGGCTATGTTCTGTGCTACTTTTTTGTTTGTTTACAATCATGTTCATTCTGTAATACTTATATGTTTATTCTGTTTATATTTGTATATGCCTGTTTGTTTGTCTTTTCATATGCTCATATGTTCCAAACAGATCTGCAATTTTAGGTCTAAGCTATTTTTCCAAAATTTTTATTTTTTGAAATTTGATTGGCAAGTTTGTTTTTTTTTGTTTGCTTCTTGATTTGTTTTCTTCTATTATCCTATCTGTTAAGTCTATTTCAGGAGCTTTTTCTTTTTTGTTAAGTCTTTGAATACAGTTTTGACAATGGTTTTTCTGTTAGTCTTAATTTTTGTTTCTGCAGATTTTATGTTTTAATAATCAGCAAAAAGAGTTCTTCTATAATATTTATTATTTCTATTATATCTACTATATCTTTTATATATATTATATTTATTATATCTATTAGTTCTTATATATCTTAACATTACTATATATAGTATTTATTAGCAATAAAGTAGTTTTTATTGTAATAATTTATATATGTAAAATATCTATAAAAGCACTACTTTCTGATTCTTCAAGAGAGTTAAATGCTCTTACACTTTACAAAAGTGTTTTTACACTTTATACAAGTGTTTCTACACTTTATATAAGTGTTTTTATACACTTAGAAATGTCTTCATACATTTCATAATGAATAAACTAAATGCAATATTTAGTATCTTTATATACTATCTATTATTGCCTTTGTCTTAAAATCCCAAATCATTCTATATTTTGTTAAGTTTTGTGTAGACTTTGTATAGAATCTGTCAAGTTATAATCATTATATTAGTTTCTGTTATTATTATGATTAAAGAAAAAACTACAGGTTAGCACTATTTTGATCACAAAAATATAAACAAACAAGCAAATTAGTCATATCAAAAACAAGCAAAATATACATGTACCTAAATCTTATTGGCAATATGAATATATTAGAAGAACATAGTGATAATTTAATAACAACATATATTAAAAGAGCATACTGAACTATTAATAATATACACAATGAGGTGTTTTATAAACAAGCAGATAAAATATATGTAATACCTAATAGAAAAAACAAAATCATAGCTATGCTAATAGAGAAAACCCAGTTAAGATTGTATTATTAAGAATAACAAAAAAGCTAATAGAAAAGGTTGAAAAAAAGCAGTCAGAAAAGAGGTTAAACATAGTAAAGCAAAGCAACTATATAATAATAATAGAATCTACTTTAAAGCAAATACATACTGAATCAAAGAACAGTACCAACTAACAGAAATAGAAAAAATCAAAGAAATTGAATAAAAACTAGTAACAAAAGTAAAAGCAGAAGATAGAAAACAATACAAAGAAAAAATACAAAAAAAACAATATAACAGTTTAACAAAAAGAAATAACAAAGGTAAGTCTAGTAATAACAGCAGAACAGAAACAAAACAAGTTTAACAGAAACAAAAAGAAATAGAAGAACACAAACAAAAAGATATAGATGCAAATAAAAAAAGAACTAAGATTTAATATAGTAACGAAAGAAATAAAAAAACAAAATAAAATAAAACAAAAAATTAAAAAAGAAATTAGCATAGTAGGAGTGTCATTAGAGAAAGGAAGCCTAAGTAATTAATAAACATACCTGAATTGAGTCAAAAAGCCTAGCACTAAAACACCCTAGAAAGAATTCTTGCACCATTTAGCCCTGCCATCATGAACGCAACCCAGCTCAGAGAACTAATAGAAAATATGACCAAGTCTTTCGAGGACACAGCTAAAGATATCGTGAAAGAAAACGGGTCCGGATCGAGTGAAACGAACCACGTGAAGGTTAGAAGCTTCAGTGGTAGTGAAGACGAGGACCCAATTGAATGGTTCGACGATTTCAAGCATGCTGCTGAGGTGAATAATTGGACAGATGAACGGAAGCTAAAGATAGCTTCTGGCTACCTTAAGGGATTAACAGCGGAATGGTACAAGAATAACAAAGCCAATATAGATGAATGGAAGAGCAAAGACGATCCAGATAGGAGCTTCTATCACTTATTGGTCGCCTTCTTTGCCACCCCAGAAAAACAGCACAAGTGGCATATTCAGTTGAACAGCCTCACCCAACTCAAATCGGAAAAGGTAGACACCTACGCCACTAAATTTAAGAAATTGTTAAGCTGTGTGGACCCAACTGACTTCCTACCCGTCCAGTATATTGTACGAATGTTTTTAAGCGGGTTGAAAGGGAAAACGGCGACCTTTGTAGTGGTAATGTCCCCAATTAATCTCAACGAAGCGATCACGGTTGCCAGGAAAGTTGAAGCCGGCGAATATTATGGTGCCCACCTGCACGAGACCTCAGTAACCCCTGACAAAAAGGATGAACTAATAGAAGCGTTAGTCAAGCAGGTGCAGCAACTATTGGTTAACTACGTTGCGGCAACCAGTCAGCAAGAACGGGATACGCGCGATAAGGAATGGTATAGTAAAGGAACGTATAAGCCCAAGAGGGATATCGTCTGTTACCAATGTGGCGAAAAAGGGCATATTGCTTGATCCTGTATGTCGGAGAAGAAGTACGGGAAACCTAAGAAGAACCAACGACCGACGGATAACGATCGAAGAGTGAACTACTGCGACTACAAATACGACGGCGACGAAGTGTACATGGTAGACAAAAGAAGGCAGCAACCGCAACCCAACACTGCCGATAAACAACCTAGGCTGCAACCCGAGGCGAAGTGGGATAATAGACTCCGACCCTGAATGAAACCCGAACCATTGTTAGTAGACGTGGGGGACCAACTGGAGCCTATGGAGTTGGACGAGCCGCGGCTGGTCAAAAAATCGAGAAAAAGAAAGGGACTGTCCGTTATAGATAGCCTCGTGCCGTATAATATTGCAGAAGATTTGTTGAACACAAGGGCGAACGCTACCTATGGTCAAATGCTTCAATACCCAACCAAAGGCGGAACTTAGCCCAAGTAATGCGACGACCCCTTGTAGCCCTGGAGCCTAAGGAAGTTCGAGTACCACAAGAAGTCCAAGAGCCTCAGGTGGTGAACTTTAGTGATGCCCATAGAACGATGGCCACCCATTGCTACGTTAGAATTAGAGACAACCCCATTTGAGCAGTATTAGATTCGGGTGCTGCAGTAAGTATAATGACGAAAAAGCTCATAAAAAAATTAAGGTTGAAAATAGACAAACCATTGTCTACGGTGGTAATCATGGCAACCGGCACGAGAACGCAAGCACTAGGGCAAATCGAGGATGTAAAGATGGCTATCCAAGATACCCTACTACCTAGCACCTTCCAGGTTATTGAATCGACAGACGAAACCCTACTGCTTGGCAACGACTGGTTCCAAAGAGCTCAAGTGCGAATTCACTTCGACGAACAACGGCTGTTTCTTAAGCACGACGGTAAAAGAATCGAGGTACCCATCTCTAGTAATGGCACGAAGAAGTTGGAGGTACCGGAAGAGAGAGACCAGCCTGGTAGCGATAGTGGAGACGAATTCGGTGAATACACATACGAGGACGAAGAGCTAGTGAAGCAGAAGGATACTATACGGAAGAAGCTGTTGAAGAACCCATGGATCTATTCTATAACTCGTGGGAAGAATCGACAAGTCCGGCCCTGTATCTGACGAACGTAGAGGAGATGCCAACAAAAGATGACGACGAGACCAAAATTACGGTAGAAAGGTGGATTGAACAGTTCCTCCAGAACGATAACCTTGATAAAGAAGACAAGGAAAAAGCAGCGTCGTTCTTTAAACAGGAAAGGACCCTGTTCGCAAGCGATATACGAGAACTTGGAGAGACGAACGTGATAACCCATCGAATTGAGACCGATGGGGCTAGGCCAATAAAGCAGAAAGCTTATAGAGCCGTGCCTAGGAACACGAATTTATTGAAAAAAAAGTAAAGGAAATGGAAGAGAAAGGATTAATTAAGAAGTCGAGTAGCCCGTGGGCTTTGCCTGTCGTAGTAGTCCCAAAGAAGTGTGGAAAGCTACGACTATGCGTAGATTATAGAAAATTAAATGCAGTAACGAGAAAGGACTCTTACCCGCTACTCCGTATCGATGATTTGCTGGAGACCTTTAGCACCGTGAAATGGTTTTCCAGTTTAGACTTGAAGAGCGGATATTGGCAGGTAAAAGTAGAAGAGGATGATAGAGAGAAAATGGCATTCGTAACGCAAGGAGGACTCTACGAATTCAACGTCATGCTGTTTGGATTGTCGAACGCACCTGCCACATTTCAACGGTTAATGGATCGTATATTAGAGGAGTACGTCAGAAAATTCGTGACCGTCTATATCGACGATATCAACGTGTATTCGCGCACCTTTGACGAACACTTGATACACTTAAAGAAGGTGTTCGATAAGTTAGCTGAGGCTGGATTAAAAATTAACATAGAAAAGTGCGAGTTCTTTAAACCCACTATTAACTTTCTTGGGCATATTGTTGGATGGCAAAGGATACAACCTGACGAGGGTAAGATAGAAAAAGTCAAAAATTACCCTGTGCCCAATACCCTGCGTCAGTTAAGGGGATTCATTGGCCTTGCATCGTACTATAGGAAGTTTATTCCTAAATTTGTGGCTATAGCACGACCTCTACACCATCTATTGCAAAAGGACATTAGCTTTGAATGGGACCGCAACAGCAACAAGCATTCGAAACATTGAAGACGCACCTAATTACGGCACCCGTTCTCAAGTATCCCGACTTCGACGATACCTTTTTCTTGTATACTGATGCGTCCAGAACGAGATTAGGAGCCGTTTTAGCACAAAAGGGTGCTGACGGAAAGGAGCACGTGATCTCGTATGCAAGCTGTAGCTTATCTAAAGCCGAACGAAATTATTCGGCATGTGAATTGGAATGCCTGGCGGTTATTTGGGCAGTAGAATACTACCACCATTATTTCGGCTTTAAGCCGTTTGTTATTATAACCGACCACTCCGCACTTAAGTGGCTGCATAGTACAAAGTTAAAGGGTAAAAGGGCCCATTGGATACTTCGTTTACAGCCGTACAATTACACGATCAAGCATAGGTCAGGATGTACACATTGGAATGCGGATGCATTGTCTCGAATAAATGGAACGGAAGACGACATCGTGGAAATATATATGGCAATAGTAGAAAGTGGTGAAGAAGAATTAGTAACGGAAAAGGATGAAAAACAGAATGATAAAGAACAAACCAACTTACCCAATTTCGAACAAGTATTCAACTCAAGAGCCCCACTGATCCCCCTGTTATCATTTACCAAGTTGGGAATGAAATACTGAAGTAATCTGGAGTACACGGGACCGAGTAAATCATACGGCAATATGTATCAAACGTATTACAATCCCACCTGTTTCGAGCATCTTGCATTAGAAATCTTAGATCGACAGAAGGCTATATATACGATCGAATTTCATGGATTTAACCTAATAGCGACAGAACCTAAACAACTGTTAGTGTTAAGAGATTGGGTAATTACGGGAGCGAAGCAAGAATTGATTCGAAGGGAATACTTACTCGATACCAGCATCGACTTGGGATATACCAAGCCATTGGACCTGCAAGAAATAGAGAAGGATAAAAACGCCAATTGAAGGAGCGATCGAAAGGTAGTTAATATTAAACCATGTCGACAAGCGAATGCGTCGAATCACGCATGATCTCCTTAGCCGAATGTGGTCGATTAAGGAAACGACATCGCGATTCTTGAGGAGATTATTGACGTGGATAAGCAAGAAACAACGACCACATTCAGAAATCGGATCGTCTAATTTTAGTAACTCTTCAATTACATTGACGACGAATTAGTAAAACAGCGCATAAAAAGAAATAGGGTGACTAGAAAAACAAAAAGAAAAGAAGGAGATACCCAAATCCGACGATAAATTCAATCCAGTCCAGGTAGTTGGTGTCCTGGCATTAGAAATCCGAAATGGAAATAGAAGATTACGAACGGTTGAAACGGTACTTGCAAGAAGGATACGTCAACGGCAACCTAGAAAAGAAACAAAAAAGACAATTAGTCAATTACAGTAAATCATTTGTAATAAGGAATGGTTTATTATATAAGAAAAGTAAGAAAACTCAAGACCAACCTTTGAAAGTGGTACAGAAGCATGAAATCAACCCCATCCTGTTGTTAATGCACGATCACCCTCTTGATGGGCACTTGGGAGCCAAGACGATGTTTGAAAAAGTCCGTAGGACATACTACTGGCCACAAGCATTCGAATATATTAGGAAATACGTCCAATCGTGCGAAAATTGTCAAAAGAGGGGAAAGAACAAATATACAGGACCCCTACAGCCCATACCTGTAATGGCACCATTCTACAAAGTGGGGATCGATATCATAGGCCCACTCCCAATTACTCTACGAAATTCACAGTATATAGTCGTAGCAACCGACTATATGACGAAATGGCCAGAAGCTAGGGCGATTTTGACCATTGATGCTCAAAGTGTAGCAGATTTCATTTTCGAAGATATCATGTGCAGGCATAGATGCCCCCTCAAGCTGTTATCAGATCGCGGCACCCACTTTAGGAATCAACTTGTTGATAGGTTGCTAGAAAAGTTCAAGATCAAGCACCTGCTATCGACGCCATACCACCCACAGACCAACAGGTTGGTGGAACGATATAATAAGACCTTGTGCGAATCTATTGCAAGGTCAATAGATAACATTAGCGACTGGGACCTTGTAATACCTGCAGTATTATTTGCATACCGTATCTCTAAGCATGCAACTACAAAGATCACGCCATTTTTCTTGATGCATGGAAGAGAAGCCCACCTACCAATCGAATCTGACGATTTGTTAGAAGACTTACCGATAACACATCATGAGGCTGTGTTAGAAGTTCAACAGGCTCAAAGGAAACAAAAAGAACGGTACGACCGAAATGCCTGTTTTCCACCCGAATTGTCCATCGACGATAAAGTCCTGCTATATCGTGCTTCTAAAAAGTATAGTAGAAGTGTGAAGTTAGAGCCAAAATGGGATGGACCATTTTACGTCCATCAGATACTAAACAGGAATGTATACAAATTGCACACCATAGAAGGGAAGGTCCTCGTGACACCGTTTAACATTACACTACTGAAAATCGAAAAAGTATATATAAAAAAAAATATTATTATAAAAAAAAAAAAAAAAAAAAAAAGAAATTTTAAATAAAATTACCAAAAGTAACGAAATTCATGAAGAAGATGGTCGATCTGGAACAAGGGGAGAAAAAGATATAAGAAGGATCAAGAGCGTAAGACAGGGAAGAAGTAAAATTTATTAAAAATAAGGCTTACCATACGTCAGATCATCGATGACATCAATCAGCCTGTGTCTAATGATGTCAACCCAATCTTACTACCGTTCAACGACTCACATGATCTAACTACTCGTGTGACCTTGACCTTTTCGTTGCTCTCCCAATTGATCTGTCTACAAGAAAGAATCAACGCCTTGGTTTATGCCTATTACCTAGGATCGATCTTCGCCGGGGCTACTCCAATGCAGAAAAGACGACTTCGAGAACTCATAACCTCCCATTACTACACAGTTTCCTTAAAGGTCTTTGATATTTTCTTGCCCGTCAGGATGATAAAAATTTATGGTACCACGATCGTGATGTACTACGATATTAAGGAGCTCAAAATCACCGAATTGAGGCAGGTAATTTCGGAAAGCTCGTGAAACTCACCCTTAATCGTAGGAGGAATGTGAGGCCTGATAACGTGATGTAAATACTCTGCCGGGACCTTACGTGAGACAGATACGATGATCAATTCCTCGAAATAGATATGCCGGCAATTAATCGCATTAATGTGATTAATTAAATAAATCAAGGAAGTGGGATTAATTAGATAAAGGGGATTAATTAGATAAGGGGGATTTATTAAGTAAATGGGTTTAAGTGAATAAATTAGAGGAATCGAATTAAATGATTTAAAGAGATAAATGTAATTAATGAAGTTATAAGTAAAAAGATATTATAAATAAAGGCCGAAATGGCCCTTTGGAGCAGCACGCTTCATTTGCTTTATTAAACAATAAATCATAATATCCTACATTGTACTTAATAAACACTAAGACTATTACCGTTACAAACCCTGCAAACTCCTGTAAACGTCACTGTTTAACTCTTGACCACGTAACTTACCATACTTGCATTCGTTGACCCAAAGTAACCAAAAGCCTTTCTCGCCCACAAGCCAAATCTAACACCCTCTTTCGAAAAGGTTACTTGTCGTACATTACATGAGGTTTAGGATTTTGGAGCGACAGAATCGCAAACTTCTGAACCGAACACTAGTTCTAAAAACTTTTTATATAACCTAATCTTAGTCATTATTATAGACCAAATAAGGTTATTTAAGCTACATTAGCCATATAAGCCATAGTAATATTTCTACAAAACACATATTACTCTTGTAGTAATATTATTATCTCAAAAAACAAAAGATTTCAAGTAATTTTAAACAAAATAAAATTACAGTATGCCAACTCTTATAACTGCTGACCCTGATTCTGTCAATCTTGACTACTTTTATAAGAATTTTTCTAAAAGTTTTGGCATTGAAGTTTATGAAGAAACTCCATTAACTTCTCATCTAATTCTTACTGACAAAGAACCTAACAATTGTTTTAACATCAAGCTTAGAGGCAACAGTAAATATTGTCACTATTTTAAAGCTCCTACAACTAGCAGTGTAATTACTTGCCTCTGTGACAAGTTCCATACCAACTTCATTTCTTAAAAAAACTTAATCTATAAATAAAACTCAATTAGACAAACTACAAAAAAATTAAAAAACAGAAAATTACTTGCAAATACTATTGCAAATTCTACAGAATTTATGCCAATATCTCCTACCTCATCACCTTTACTATCTACCCATCAACACATCTGTTTTACTTGTAATCAACCTATTATCTGTAAACTAACTAATAACAAATATTATTTAACAAATGATGCATTGCTTTTTAATAACAAATAATATCATAAATCTTGTATCACAAAACCAACTTAATTCTCAACAAGGTTCTTCTAAAAAAACTCAACAAAAATTTCTTAGCAATACTATCTTATTTGCTAATAAACTTCGACAAACACTTACCAAACAACAATCTTAAAACCCAAGTACTAAACAACAAACCCAAAACCCACTTACTCTTCAACTTGATCCTCTTATACCACTCAATGATAACCAAAACAACAAAGATGAAGATATGGACATCGATGATATTACAATAACTAAAAAACAACAACAACAATATCAACAACAACAACAACAATAGCAACAACAACAACAGAAGCAGCAACAATCTCAACAAAACCAATCTTTACCTTCTAATACTAAAACTAAAGTTAATCCAACATTTGACTGGTTAAGCAACTTTCCTGTTACAACTGAAATAAAAACTAACACTAAATTACAACCTTAATTATCCTAAAACCTGTTCAATTTTCTTAAACAACATCTCTTTAACTTTTATCCAGGCAAAGAGATTAAATCTGCTACTAAAAACAAAAAAGCTCTTACAGCTAGCTTCTATCATATTATTTATCAAATGGCTAGAGCCAGACTCAAATTTCTTTTTAATATTATCTTTAAATCCAATTCTGAAATTGACCAAGAAGCTACAATTCCTTTTAATGTTCTTGAAGGAAGTTTCAAAAAACTTATTCTTAAATTTACTACTATTTTATTCACCAAACTTAATTATCTTGAAATTTTTGCATTATCTGTTACTGTTCCTTTATATAAAACACAAAATCAACTGCAATTTTGTATTAATCTTGTCAAATACATTTGTATCTTTCTGACAATTACCAAGTCATTAACTATATAAAATTTGCAGAAGCCATTAAACTAAGTCCTAAAAGGTTTACTGTTAGCTCATCAGTAACAAAAACAGACAAAGAAACCAAATATCTGACAATTAAAATAAACAACAGATTTAATATTCACCTTTTTTTTAATATCTCTAAAACTTTTTTCCTGAAAAAATATAACATTCTATCTCTTAACAACTCTTTAGATCATTTTAATGAATAGTTTAAAAAGTTTTTTCTTTTATATAACTGTTAATTTACTGAACCTCTTAATAAAACCAAAGTCAAAAATGCATTAAGATTCCAATTCTGACAACAATTTATTAAACATCTTAAAGAACTTCTTCTTAATAAAATTTTTTTCACAGAATCTCATAACCTTCAAGAATGACTTAATGAAGCTATTCGATATATCAACTATTACATCTATATCTGTACTGATTCAGATTGCATACATCTTAATAAAACCAAACTTAAAAGAAATAAAAAAGCAAAAGAAACTATATCTAACATCAACTATTTAAACTATCAATATTTATACAACTACAATAGTCTTTTCAAAGAAACAATTAACAAATTTTACTTGAAATACTCCAAAACAGAAAGTGAAATTTGGAAACAACCTAAGATTGACTTCTCAATCTTTTATATTAATGGTAAACATGAAGCTACCTTTAAAAAACAAATACCTATACAACTTCTTGATAACCTTACTACAAAAGCTAAAGAATTTATTTGCTCAAATAATCCAACTAAGC